GATAAAATGAACTGATTAGAGCGAAAAGAGTCATCTGCGAATGAGTCTAGCGTAATATATTTATTTTAGTTGCCGTAGAATGTTTCTTAAGCGGTCCTCCATCCCCGATCATTAGGGATTACAGTTTAATTACGCAGCCGTACAGTATATGACATGTTCATGCAGGAAAGTTTGTGATCAAACGTCGATAGTTGATGAGAGTTGGCAGTCACGCATTGTTACAGGGGACATTTGAAGATCTAGATTAACAAAATAAAGGTTTGATGAGCGTTCGAACTATGTTTTAACTTAAATAGAATACATGATAGTGTTGGGCAGTGGCGTGCTGGGTACTATTTTTCTGGGGGGGGGGGCAGTGGGCTGTCAACAAATATGCGCCCCTATAATGTTTCGCTTGATAAACGAGGGCCGAAGGCACGAGCCGAGCGCCGCAGGTGCGAGGTTTGTCTAGGGGGGTCGGCGGGCATGCCCCCCAGGAAAATTTGTGAATTTAAAGTCTCTGAAATGCCATTTCCTGGACTTTGGGGGGAAGATTTGACAGAAATCTGATGGTCAGGAAACGGCATTATAACGTGTCGAAATTTGCAATTTGGTTTCAATTTAGTAGTAGTAGTAGTACTTATATTATGCAATGCTAACAACTTCCAGCGATTAATCTAATCCCAATTCTATTCTCTACTGATCTAGTGATCTGAATACAATTACAACATACAGCTCTTTTATACAATAACACACGGACCCCACGCATATGCATTTTAAGGTTTCCCTCCCTGGCTGCCAAAAGGGCGCGTTTCAGCATTATTTCATTACTCACATTACTCATGATGTTTCTAGCGCAAACAATTAAATTGCGTACACAACTTTACATTATCATAACTTAAACTATCTAATTTGCGCCGCTCTTGTGATTCGTGAAGCATAATAAAGGGCATAATACCAGCAAAAAAGGGCATAATTCCCGTGATCGCTTCGAAACCTGACCAATATTTCGGTGATTAGACATTGCGTGTGATCACAGTTCATGTTTCTATATGAACGATTTCGTGTGAGTCGTGAGGTAGCAAATTAGCAAATACGGTTAGACAAAATAGTCTGTATAATTTAATATGTCACTTTGTCGCCTATGCGCTTAGTCTGTTTTATAAGCCTATAAACACATCTTTTCTCGGTGGAAGTAAATATATTTTTTCGAATGCGTTTTTTCCCACCCACTTTCAAAACTCGGCGCGGAATCGGCGCCCCCTTTTCATTTTTGCGCCCTGCAAGAATTGCCAGCTGTGGAACAGCTCAGCAATGTCACGTGACTGCAAACTCTCATGCACTCGCATCCTCGCTTGATCACGGCTTTGTATTGTCATGTTACAAAGCAAATTGTCTGAAATTAGTCCATTACTAGTAATCTTCATAACATCAACGATATATTTTCACATTAAGGCGAGAAGTAAGCTGCAACGTCGTTATTAATAATCGATTGCAAAGTCACTCGCAAGTCGCAAGTTTAAATTTACCAAATGGTCATAACAAAAGTTCGCTATTTACTCACTAAAATATCACAGCTAGTTATAAACCCACCTTTTAAGGTTCCTCTACATATTTCTGCTTTTCTTGGTGAAATAAATGGCAATGACAGAGTATTGAAGAGTTGAACGTTGAGATTTTGTTAATAAAACATTTCAACAAAGGCAGCTTTTCCATTAAACGCCACACAGCAAACACGGAAGGAGCGACCTTTTCTTCCCGGAAATTTGATCCTGTGTTCATGACATCACAGTTCCGTAATGAACTATATATATTATTTTGCAATACCATATTAAGATGTGTAGTTGTGAGGGTTTGTGATACACCACTGTCGCTCGTATTTTTTGTGTGTGTTGGTGTTATGTACTCAGGTGAATATGATGTTTGTGATGTTACTCTGAGTGTATCCACACCAACACGCATAAAAAGTATCATGTCTTCAGCTCCGAAACATCGCCAACTCGAACTGACTTGACCTCGTATAGCTCAGTTGGTAGAGCATTGGACTAGTATCCCGAAGGTCACGGGTTTGATTCCCACCATGGTCAGGCAACGTCACAAACATCACTGTCGTTTATGTTGTACTATAAAAGCAGCCCATAAAAATGTATCAGAACTGGGTGGAAAATGCTCCATCATATGTTTAATTATATGAAAGCCAGTGATGGAACCCAGTAAGCGAAACAGCCCAGCAAGTATGCGGGATGAATTTCTCTTGTGTATATATCATTGGTCTATATGAGAAAATTTCATTCCACTTCCCGGGACGACTTTGTATTGTTTGACAGCTTTTAAAATAGCTAGCCATAGAAGTTATGTATATAAAGCATTACATATGAAATATATAGCTCAGTTGTCCAATTCCAGCCCTTTTTCTAACATACAGTATCGCTAATCAAGTTATCAGTTTATAAAACTACGGTATTATTCTTCAAATCGAAGTCAAAATACGAAATTTTGGCACACTTCTTGCAGACCGCGCAGACAAAAACAATAGAAAGGGACTGAACTTAACGTCCAATAACTCCATCTTGGGCTTCATATTTGTGGAGCTCAGTGGTATAGTGTTACCCTCAAATAAAGAAAACTGGACTATTTATGAAGACGTAAAACCGATTGGGGACATCAGGAAGAGGGGCACAAAGCCCCCATAGACAATTTGTGTTGTCCGACACTACTGGTTTTTCAATCGATTTTTCTGCAAAAACAGTTAGCCAAACATCGTTTACATCGCGTCTTTATCAGTTATGAGATGAAATGAGATATTTACCTGTATTGAACAAATTTATTACGTCCATCTACTGGTATACGGTAACATTCATGCACGCAACATGTGCCATCGGCACCGAAACTCTCCCGCGATTTCTTGCAACTAATTCACTGGCGATTTCCTCGTTGAATGCGATTAAAAAATAGGCTTTGGTGTGGCCATCAACGTGAGAGTCAAGAGTGACGGGGGTCAGGAGGGGGGGGGGCGTGTTCAGCAATTTGTCCCGGGGCCCGTGGTTCTCTCTCGCCGGCCTTGACTTAATTGTATCACTACACTGTAAATTTCAAGAAGATGAATCAACTGCAAGTCGAGTTCATGGCTAGTTTTCTTCGGAACACGATGTGTTTCCTTTCTTTGAGCATGTCCCTGTCAATTATACTTGGTCGGTTTTAACCATGATTCGAGTCCCACACGTTTAGCCACATCAATGGCGGAAAGCCCAGACGAATCTTTTAGATAAATGTTTGCGTTGTGCTGCGTAAGGATTTGAACAACACGTTTTCCGACACTCCGCAGTTACTACGTTCCCAAAAAGTTTAGAGAGCTACATGTAAGATACATTCTAAAAACATTGTGGTTAAAATTTCTGGTTAAACACCCGGGTTAATCTGTGCAAATAACCATATTTGGATTCACTTAATATTCCTGGGTAATTTTCCTGATTATTTTTTTCTATTGCCAAGTTAATTTGACCACGACTTCCTGGTTCTGATTATTATTTCTTGCGATCACCGGTTTCAATTATAGCATTTCTAAATTCGTTAAGAAATACGGGAGGAGGAGATCTTATGGCATCTCTAGTGTAGTCTAGGGTAGTTTCCCAGACAATTTTTGTAGTTTTGAAGCTCGGTGACCGCGTTTCCGACAACTTCTGGAGAGAATTCGCTGACGAATTGCGCCAAATTACTTGTGTATTCATGAATTAAACCCACAATTTGACTTGTATCATATTTCGTGTTGTTACTTTGATAAGGAAAAGGAAAAATCTTCGGTTTATTTGTATTACAAGGAGCCATTTTTAACTCAGTGTCAGTTTGTTAGAATTTCTATGTGGACTGTTTTATTAATTAAAATATTTTCTCACACAATAAATTGTTAGCAAATACAGACTTCTGAAGAAATTGCTTTTTGCCATTTTTTCAAAGTTTTCTTCCCAGTATAATCGTAACCTAATTGTAACACGTGCTCTTCACTTCCAAATGGAAATTTCTACCATATATAGCTTTTATAAATAGTTGTACTGATCATGCATATACAAGGCCAAAATAATTTAAAGTTTTGTCAAATAATTTACCAATTTATATAATGATCACCCACAAATGAACTCTGCAGCCACTAAATGTATGTATCTATTCTAAGCAAGATACATAAGTTATAGAAATAAATTATTATTTTAATTTTATCTTTTTTCCAAGATAAAAGTTTGAAATGAGCAAGGGTGGGTAGTAGCGAAGTACTTGTAGTTCGCTACTGTAGCGAACTACAATTTTCAAGTAGCCAGTAGTTTTTGACTACTTTTTTAAAACAGTAGCTGTAGTTATAGCGAACTACTTTTTGCCTAAAAGCAGCCAAGTAGTTGACCACTTTTCAAACAGCGAATCGCTATTCGCTACTTTTTAAAATTGTTAGCAACTTGATAGAATAACATGATGTTGAGACATGGTTTGCTTAAAATCAATACTCAATAGTCAATTTGCACTCTTGAACACTGTAGTGCTTACAAAATGTTGCTTTGTGTTTACTGTTGCTACTTGTGAGTCGATTTGTTATAGGTACATTTCAGCCTGAGTTAGTAGATGCTCTAAATACAGTAAAACTAAAAAATATAGCGTAGTGAAATAGCGAAATAGTTCGCTACATTTTTTAGCAGTAGCTGTAGTCAGTAGCGAACTACCTTTGTACAAAAGTAGCATATGCAGTAGTTGTAGCTGACTACATATTTTTGAAGTAGCTGTAGTTATAGCGAACTACAAAAATTTTGTAGTCAATCCACCCTTGGAAATGAGAGATTAAAGTTTCTGAAAAACTATAGTATAAATTACAGTATTATTTGAATTTATCACTACTGTGTGGTCAAATCGTAGTCTGGGAATCCCGCATGGGAAATGAAATCTGGGTTGGTAGACTACCAAATGCGTTCTTTCATTAGACCATCATAAATATACATCATGGTCTACAGAACAAACTTGCCTCCACAGTGCTAATATTTCAGTGTTTTTAACTTTAATGGACAAATAAACACATCACAAAATTTTGACAGTAACTGCTTTTAAAACCACAAATTTATGAATATGCAACTAGTGCTAGCTATATATTGTTACACTTCTCAAAATTTTAACAGTAACTGCTTTTAAAACTACATGAAATTTATGAATATACAAATGTCAAATGCTATATATTGTTACTTAATTGTATTGCCAGTTCAACGTCTGTATCTCGTGACCTGGGGCTGGTTCAACACATACTGTACGAAGGTCAAATAGCGCTATCCAGCGGATAGTGATTTTTCCAGGGTTTTAAAATTGTCCGTTGATTTGGTAGAACTCAGCTTGAACTCTAGTATTTGTAAATTAAACTTTTTTTATTCATTGTGAGGCCCACATCCGTAGTTTTACAGCTTTTCACGAATTTTTACAAGGGTTGAAAAATCACTGTCCGTGGTAGATAGCGCTACTGTATCTGGTCTTCGTGCAACCGTCCCTTGCCCTTGAATTAGGCTAGCTGTTCCTTGAAAATCTTAATAAGTGTTCAAATCTGCCTCTCAGAAGCAGAATTAAGTAAAATTTAGTGATGCACCGATATGGAAGTTCACCGATATTCCGATATTGAAGGACCAATATTTTGCCGATACCGATATTGTACGTCATTTCACAAAATTCAAAGATGACATCATGACAGTTCTACTTTAATACTTTTGAATTTAATTCAATTAATTTGTTTCTAAATACTGAAAATATCAAATGAAATGCTGCAAATGCATGCAACAAACTAGTATATTGTACTGTGTTTCCACTTTTAGATTTTGATTTTCAATTCTTTCAAGATGAAATGCTGCAAATGCATGCAACAAACTAGTATATTGTATTGTGTTTCCACTTTTAGATTTTGATTTTCAATACTTTCAGGTCAAAACTTTGATTTTTCGTAATTTTTAGATGTAAAGAATTCGTTTAACTAGTGTCCTTAGATATCGGTAATATCAACAACAAAATTACCGATACCGATATTTCTATTTTAGTACCGATAAGCCGATACCGATACACCGATATCGGTGCATCACTAGTAAAATTACTTATATGTTTGCTATTTACATACCACAACTGTCTTCATTACGACGATAAGTGTACGGTACAGCATGGATGGTATAGAAAGGGACTTGTCCAGATTGAAGCTGGCTTTAGTTTTCTTCGGAGCACGATCTCTTTCTTTTCCGCTTTAAGCATGTTCCTGTCAATGATGCTTCATCGGTTCTTAACCATGATTCGTGTCCCTCACGCTTAGCCATGTCAAAGGCGGAAAGCCCAGACGAATCTTTTAGATAAATGTCTGCATTGTGCTGAATAAGGAATTCAATAGCACGTTGTTTTAGAGCAAGGCTTTCTTCAGTGTCACATCTGGATTCATATGCATAATGAAGCGCAGTACGTCCATAAAAATCCTGTTGATTCACTTCAGCTCCGTGATCCAAGAGTAACGACACCATCTGTTCCAGCGCAGGTGCAGAATCCCTCCAAACACGATTTAGGTTCTTACACGTTAGCATTAGGGCAGTTACCCCCGGACCTCCTTTGTTGCTTGGGTTTGCTCCATGTTTTAAACACTTTTCTAGCATTCGTAGCTTTAAATGCGAGTGCCAGGCATACGTGAACTCCACATAAATCATCCCATCTCTCAGAAGGCGTTCAATTTCTGAATAAGAATAAAGCATAATTATATATACATGTATACGCCTATCTGCAGTATACTAAAAGTATATAATATACTGTACCTCGCAAAGAATACACATTAACACTATCAAAGAGGTGTCTGTATGAGCAAGGTGTCTCTATTAGACAAGTGTTCATATTAGAAAGGTATCCGTATTGGGAAGGTAGGCTACGTCCACACTATCAGACTAATCCGTTTTCGAATTCTTTCGTTTTTTATATTTCGAAAAAGCATACAAATATCTGCGTCCACGGTAGCGTTTTCGGATCGTTTTTTCCACACTAGCACTTAAAAAACGATAATTTTTTATTATTTTCGATCTTTATTCATTTTACGGTTATTCATGCAAAAATCTTACAAGAAGGCCAGGAACATTTTTACGGAGAAAGAGACAAATTCATCGAGGTTGGACCTAAAAACGTCGCCGGTAATAGACCTTCTATAGTGGCTTTACAATCTCAGAAAAAAATTAACTGATAAGCTAGGACATAGTGTACAGCATTATGTTGTCTTTGCAAGTTATGCATGCAGATTAATCATTATATCCAGTGCAAGGCTTAAGCAATTCATCTGAAATTCGGAAAAACAACACACTCATGCACTACACATGATTGTGTTCATGCCGCCCGCGTTTTTGAAAACCTTCGTTTTCGCCCGTCCACACTAATCCAATATATACGCCCGCGTTGTCTCCACGTAACTTTCAAAGCCGTTTTCGAAAAGCTCCGTTTTCATTGATGAAGGCATCCGTTTTCCATCGTATCAGTGTGGAAGATCGGCGAAAACGCGTGCAAAAGTATACGTTTTCAAACGAAAACGGATTAATGTGGACGGCGGTACATTGGAAAGGTGTCCGCATTATTACAAAGCGTTGATATTAAAGAGGTGCCCGTTTAGAAAGGCGTACGCAGCAGAGAATTATCTGGATCATGCATGGCTCGATTCTTCCTGTCCCCCCCCCCCGGGATTTATGTATTCTTTATTCCTAAACTGTCAATTCCCCACCCCTGGGCAAATAAAGAAAAGCCAATTCCCCTCCCATGGCCAATATTGGACACGAACACGTTATAAAAATTTCACGAATGTCGACATTTGAAAGGCATTCACTAAGCGATAGAGCGTGTTCACTAGGGCTATTAAAGGCCATGTTAGTACAGTGTTAGTACATTTTTTCTTCCAGTTTCCAACGCAATCTCTGATCTACAGCAATGTTTAAATATGGAAGAAAAAACAATTGCAGTGCAAGTGGGCTCATGTTTTGCATTTTTCTACGAGTCCCAAAGCCCCTCGCCTGTGAACATGTGTATTCCTAATCCCTACCCCCACGGGACACCTCCTGGACCACGTGCTCAACAAAATTCCGTCGGTGTACATTTGGGGGATGGTAACAGGAAGAATTGAACCATCCATTACAGAGATGTGCGTAATAAGCCGTATTCTGTGATTTGGTTTCAATTCTGTCTCCCCCCTCCCACCCCTTCGGGCGCAACTTTAAATCTACATGAATCTATAGATTTTTATATGCTGGTATGAATTAACTTGTTGTCACTCGTAAAAACCTGAAGTTTCTTTGTACTTTACGATGAAAGATCAATATTTTGTATTAACATTATTGCACCAATTCAAGTCTCTTATCACGCGGTTATATGCAGTAAATCGTCAATAATTAGCCTTTCTCACGATGACGAATATCCGCCATTTTTGGGTGGCATCTAATTCTCGTTAACCAAAGCAGACAATTAAAACAATGTGAAAAGCAATTTTTCAGAATAAGCTAACCATTTACAAAGCAAATTTAACATCGTTCGTCCAAAAATTAGAAGTCGCTGTTATGTGGACTTATCTCGCAGAGCGGTGGCGTGAGATATATTGCATGAGCTTTTGGGTTTATTGTTGAATTATATATGAAATTGCAAAGAGTAGATTGATAAAGATTCTTATATCGACATTTTGGGAATCTCGTTCGATACAACTAATAGTGAATGGTTTTTTAGATTGAATTTTCGAACCTAAATTTCTATACACTTTTTTAGACCTAACAACCAGGAGCAGTTGCAAAAAATGCAACTTTATGCTCTCTGGCAGGTTCGATTATATATATACATGAATCTGTGGTTAAGGCTTAGCAATTGGTCTCTGTAGCACAGCTCGTTAGAGCATTATACCGGAATCAAAGCCAAAGGGCCTATTACTTCCATTTTTCGCAGCTGCTCCCGGTTAGATCTAAAAAAAGTGTATAGAAAGATTTAGCGCCAACAAATTTAAACGTATGATAGCACTTAATGCTCATAGCACTTAATGCCCCACAGGAAAAAGTTAAGATTTCATGCATGAGCTAGTTTTTGAAAGAACTGCTGCCAATGGTCAGTTTGTGTTAAATAAAATACATCTGGGTCCTGAAGATCTATCGAATATCGTGCGCTCCTTGTTCGTTGTTGATAAAAAATTGAGCAACACAAGTTTAGAATCTGTAAAATTCTTGATTAAAGAATCTTTGCAATTTCATATTGAGATGAACCGCGTGATACCCCCCACCCCTCTCCCCCGCCTTCGAACTGGTACAATAACTGTGTATAACATGTAGTTTAAAAAAAAAAATATTGCTAATTTTAATAGAAAATGATGATGTTTGGTCGTAAAATACAAAGAAACTGCAGGTTTGCATGAATAAATTCGTGCCAGGCATATCAGAATCTATAAATTTATGTAATTTTAAAGTAGTGCCCGAAGGGAGGCGACAAACTTCGTTTTCTAAGCAGCAACTTTTTTGGTCACAGAACACAGCTATACGCAGGGCCGCCGAGAGGGGGGGAGGCAGGGGGGGCAAATTGCCCCGGGCCCCGAGGCTCTGGGGGCCCCTAGAAATTTAATGTTAGAAATTTAATGGGCCGCAGTAATTTTTTCGGGCGAAATATTTCTGTTTTCGGGCCAAAATGTTTGTGTTTAGGGGGCAATGAACCGAAATTTGGTATGGAAAATTGCGGAAAAGTCCAACGAAAGCAATTATAACGCACCTAAAAAGAAATTATTGTCCGAAACATTTTTTGTGGGAAAATGTTTTTGCAATAGGGGCCCCTAAAAATTTTTTTGGCCCGGGCCCCCGCCAAGTTCTCGGCGGCCCTGGCTATACGATGAGCTGTATTGTTTTCATATATAACAAACTAGGTTTTTTCCAAAGCTATTTTTAAGAATATGTTTAATCAACTTTATATTATACAAATAATGAATATGAGTGCAATGGTAAGAATATTTTCATGAGGTGAAAGATGGAATGTTCCATATAATATATAATATATATAATACCAAAATAGACTAATTGATTCGTATGAGAAGCATTTTGAGGGATGCGATTTATCGAAAACACAAAGAGTGCAATTGTACTATACGTTTTATTCCATTGCACTCGCAGAGAGTGCAATGGAACGTATTCCATTGCACTCTGGGGAAATGGAATTTTCTATTCAATATCACGTGACCATAAACAGCCAATTAAACGATCAGAATTCAATAAGGTATTATATAATAAAGAATAATTTTTTTTCACCATGCACACCTGCAGATTTACAAGAATATTTGTAATCAATACCTGAAAGAGGTTTCTGAATGATCTCCAATGTAAATTCCGACACTTTAGCTTCTTCTGGATAAAATGGCTTCTCTTTAAGGGACTCCAAAGTGATAACATTCTCTTCGCCTGACTTCAATTTTCTAAAATACTCTTGGACATCTTCGTTCCAGCAGATGGACGAGTCAAAGCCCTTGGTGTTCTCAAAGAATTGAGGAACACATACATCCGCCGTTAATCCATTTTTTACACAAAATTCAAATATCTTATCGTGAAAGAAAAAATCCACGAGGAACGAAAAGAATAACTGTGGCATTGATTCCTTTGGGACGAGCTGCAGTAGTTTGATGTCACAGTTCAAGTAAATGATGACCGTTAAACTAAAATTCCAGTATGTGCGGCTATCAAACAACTTGGCAGTAATTCTTGCATAACCCAACGAAAGAGCCCACTCAAGATGTTCAGCTTTTTCCTGTATGGTCATTTTATTCAAGACATCAGTTTCATCGAGAACTTTCATTGCCATATACTCGGAACAAATGAAACGATCCCAAACGTCACCACTATGGTGAAATGCGGCATGAAGAAGGTCGATTGCTTTAATACCTAATTCAGATATCAGAACATTCACGTTTGAACTCCCGCTCTCACTGGAATGAAAGAGATAACGCAAAGAAAAGAATTTGAGGTCTAGAAGAGCAGTAGGATATGGCAGTTTCGGACGAAAACATACATTTTCAAAAAAATCGCCGGGTGAAGGATACTTAACTTTAAGAGTTTTCAAGTTATAGTTTGCCATAATGGAGTGCCCGTTGAGTACATCGCAAAAGAAATCTGACTCTTCGTCTTGCAACCAATCTCTTACAGAACTATGGCTGAAATAATATGTACCAGAATCATCCTTTACTAAGTAGCCTGATAAAAGTTTGAGGACTTTATTGAGATCATGCATCTTAATTTCAGGCAGCAAACCACACTTCACAACCCCTGTAACACTTTCATCGCTCTCCTCATAAGCCTGCTGCATCTTCTGTAAGTGAATTATTACATCTTCATTAAAAATAGAAGGATGGGAAGTTACGAAATTTAACATATATTTTATTCATATCTCTTTACGTAAAAAAGCCTTAGCAGATTGAATAGCAAGCACAATCTGAAGCACAGGTGCAACTTTTTTCTCAAAGAATTCTATATCCGGAATGCGACGTTTGAAGTCCAAGCAGTAAATCTCAGATAACGAGGCAGGCAAACCAATTTCATTATGGCCATCAAAGATGTGTTCCATCACAAGTTTAGCATAAAGAAAGCAATTCTGACTAGCCTGAACTATTTTCTCTTGGCCTACTTGCTCGTCATTAGCAAAAAAAGAAGGAATACAGTTATATTCAGTTTGAAGTTTTCTGTACTTCATGGAGACAAATTGACGAATATCTTTGCTAGACAGAGACTCGAGACTAGTCTCTAAGTGGTCTAGTTTAGCAGAGGTGGATTTTAAAAAAAGGCCCGATAGAGCGGGAGCATTGTGTCTTGCAGTCAAAATGACGCGAAGCCACGAAGGAAGTGTTCCTGATAATCTGGCAAGGCAAGAAGCAATCATGGACCCTCCTTCATCCAAGCCATCGATGATAAGAAAATGTCTGGTACTTTCATTCAATTGCTGCAATGGCGTGGTAATTAACAAATCGAACAGTGCGTTAGGATCATCTCTAAATTGATCAGTCTGTAGTTTCTCAACCAAGGCAGCATATTCGGGAAGGCTCTTCGAGAGCATACTGCTGAGACTGTAGACTAACGATTTCAAATCGCAGGTGCGAGGATTATCCTTTTGACAGTAATGGTATCCAGCCAATTTTTCTCCCTCGTGCCGACGGACAAACTCTTGGGCGAACGAGCTTTTGCCTGTTCCAGCACCACCCCAGATAAGGAAGGCACGAGACTCCCGAGGCCCGAGGTCTTTTTCTAACCAGTTGCCAATGTCACTGAATAACCACTCACGACCGACAAATTCTTCCTTCATCCGATCAGAGACCGGGTTGAACTTTAGCTCCTGCTCCATGTCACAAGATAATTGCTGTGTCTCTGATATAGCTTCTAGCTTTTCCAGCCGGCTGTTGGTAGTAATGGTAGAATCTTCCAAGTGACTGATTCTTGTGTCGACAGTTTTCAGGGCGTCTTGTAGTTCGTTTTTCTTTACAAATTCATCCAAGCCTTTAATCTGATCTTTAATCTGCTCCAAGTTCGCTCCGACTTCATCTTTCCAACAGCTCATATCACTTCCCAAACTGACTATATCCTGACCAAGTTGTTGTTTCAACTGAACGAATAATTCCAATTCTTTCTCTTCAATAACCGCTAGACCAGTATTGAGTAAACTAGTAAGTTTGTTTATGGCGTCGTGGACATCTTTGTCATGGTGCAGTTCTGGGTCTTGAAGAAGCGAGGTTAAAGATGCAAACGCGTTGACTTTATCAGCATCAGTTACATGCAGCAACGGTGCATGCGCCCAAAGATTCCTAGCACTTCTTGCATCTGCTATTTTCGAGAGATCGACACCTGTGTTGAATATACCATTTGTCCCTCTCGGAGACCATTCTAATATATTCAACAGTCCCGATATATCAGTAGTTTTGGCGCTGACTACATCAAGCTTTCTTCGTCCCAAGGGAGCCATGAAAATCTTAGCAATCTCCCATGAGGCACCAACGGTCAACCACTGAGTGTTGTCACTGTTGCTCCAGGACATTTTTCTTTTATCACGTGATCGATGGGCATTCTGCAAGTGAGATTTCCACGCATGTACATTATTTGGCAAAGTTGTAAGCAGTGATGTGTGGTACTTGTCAGCAGCATTTTGAATTATGGTTTCTAAGCCGTTTCGGGTAATCTGAATTGCTCGACCAACAATAACCCAGTTTCTATATTCTGGATCACTTAGTCTACTGTGAGCCATCACTATTTATTTTTATCCTTGGAAAAAAACACAGTATTTAACCTCCTCCGCAGGCATGTGGAGCAACATTTCTAAAGTGTCTACACTGTACAAAAGCATTAGTATATTAACTTCCTCCGTAGGCATCTGGAACAACATTTCTAAAGTGTCTACACTGTACAAAAGCATTAGTATATTAACTTCCTCCGCAGGCATCTAGAACAACATGTCTAAAGTTTCTACAATATTACTTTTGACCATACTTTTTCTACTGGGTAACCACCGAGCTATATATATTTAAGAAAGTCTGGTCCAGTGGTAAAACAGACACAGTAATTACTAGGAGCTAAAAGCGGATTAAATCCTGAGATTTCACGTTGGCTACCATATTGAATTTAAACGCACTGGAGTGTGGGATCTACCTTCACAAGACCTATCATTCGGTCGATTTATTGAATTTTTGTCGAAAAGTCAAAGTACTAAAACGTTTTACTAAGGAATTTTACCAAACATTTGTTATAGTTTGTATTAATTTTCTCCCCAATAAAAATACAGAGACCATAATTGATTATATCTATTGAAATGACTACCAATTTCTTGCTTTGTTGGTAATACGTCGTCAAAGGTTAAGGGTTTGTGCAGGTTCGATTCCTGCCAGGGAGTCTATAGTTGCGGCATTTTTCACAACTGCTGCTGGTAGGTCTAATAAATGTATAAAAATTTACAAATCTCTTCTACAATGAATTCTATCAAGTGAGATGCTCAAAATCCTTATATTTACCCATACACCTTCCATCTTAAAATCTTGACATTTTCACATATGTAACCTACAGGGTCAGTTGTTCAAAAGACGATCAGCTTAACCCTAGGTTAACCTAAAATTGAAAGCAAACTTCCCAACAGCTTGGTTATAAACTTGGAAATATTTCTTCAGAAATCTTGTCTGGACCAATGAGAGTTTTCTTCTCTGAAGTTTTGAAACAGATAGATGTGTAGAAATGCATAAACTAAAACAACAGGTTAAAATTTAACCCAGGACTAGCGCTAATCGTGCTTTGAACAACCGGCCCCATATACATGTGCATATACATGCTCGACAACTGGCCTCTGTAGCTCTGTTGGTTATTGCGGTGCACCGGAATAGACCTTTCCGGTAATTACGTCACAACTAACACTGTTTCCAACTTAGGACCACCTTAGATCATGGGTTTTCAACTTGGGGAACATGTCCCCGAGAGGGGACATTTGGCAAATTCCTAGGGGACACAAACTGGTCTAGGACTGAGAAAACAATAGTTGAATACAATAGTTGAATACAATAGTTTGTACTATAAACATGTTTGCTTGACTTTCTATCTATTATTTAAAATTTAAATCATTTACTATTTTACTAACTATTTCGAAATTCGTGTTTTTGATAGACTTCAGTGGGCAATTTCTGTTCAGGGGACGTGGTAATTCAATCATGTGAAATCGGGGACACATGAGAAAACCAGTTGAAAACCGTTGCCTTAGATGCAATGGATTTTAAGTTTATTTCTCACGGGCTATTGTCAGAGGAGCAGCACATCCTTCTTCAACACATGCATAAAAAGATTTTTGGATTTTGACCAATAAATGTGGAAATAAGCTTAAACACGAAAACGAGGCTGAGGAGTGAGGGGCCAAGAGGGGCCATGGCTTATTTCCACATTTAATAGTCAAAATCCAAAAGTCTTTTTAATGCATGTGCTGACGAAGGATGTTCTGGTTTTGAGAAACAAACTTGAAATCTATTCCATTTAAGGTGGTCCTAAATTGAAAACAGCGTAGTTGTGACGTAATAATTTCGATTAATTTCGATTCCTGCCAGAGGGCCTACAGTTGCATTTTTTGCAGCTGCTCCTGGGCAATCACTGAGCCATGTATGTATAATCTGGAGAGAGCTTTCCAGTGGTAAAAACACACACAGTATAACTAGCGAATAAATCCTGAGATTTTACACCATATGGAATTTAATGGCAGTGGGGATTGGGATAGACATCTTCGCAAAACATATCCGTCCATTGATTTCTAGAATTTAGAATCTAGAAATGCCACAACCGTTTGTGCAGTGATAAATAGGATTTGTGCAGTAACATAAAGACCGGTTTACACTTGCAATTTTTGCTGCGATTTCTAATTCTAGTGCGATTTTCGTCTGATGGATGTGAATGAGTAGATGAGTTATGAATGTTCTGAGTATATGAACCCTCATCTGAACATTCATAACTCATTCAATCGTTCACATCCAATCAAAAGAAGAAAATCGCACCTAGAATCCCAGTAAAAATTGCAAGTGTAAACGACTCTTAATTTAACAACAAAGTTCAGGTACAAGATTTTTTCTGAGTAGAGGATAAAGGATGAAATCGGTCCAGTTTACTCCATTAAGACCATGGTGCAAGAGTGAATCTCAAACGGTCAAAGTTGGAACGCAATTTCCGACATTGATCTATGTTATCTAAAAATCTTGACAGTCATAAAGTTATCAAACTAGAATCTTTCCAAATTCTTTTAGTCCTACAGTTAGTGTCAGCTTTCGTTCAAGGTCCAAGTTTCTTTACCTCGCATGCTGATGAAATCATAAATTCTGTCTCCATTAAATCATTTGCAATCAGACTAAAATGTCTACTTATTTAAACTGATTATATTGTACTTACTGTATTATCTGAGTGTGTTTGTAATTTAATACAGGGACGGATCTACCGAGGGGGTGCGCGCCCGACCTAGTGGTGTCTATAGCATTCCCTTGGAGAAATCCAGCACCACCCTAAAAAATAGCTAGAAATCTGCTTCACCATTCATTTTCTGCTTTTCAAATAGCGATAAGCGGAACTTTTGCTGTTAGCGGGTGTCGATTTCTTGAAACGATTTAAGGATTTGTGAGGTCACGAGAAAATACTCAGAATGCTTTAGTTAAATATCATGGTTAAATATGTAAACATGTCGACGTTGTTATAGAGCCATTTTTTTCAATATACTGTACTTTAACAAGAAGATTTACTGTACTGTGCTACAGCAAAAGTCCAGTTACGCACACGTGATACAAAGCAGATATAAAATTTATAAACAAAAGATAATGTAAAACGCAACAGAACGGCGAACATGCAGATTCGGCCATCTCACATAAGTTGCAGACTACAGAGGGGAGTGGGCAGTAAGACTCCCTCATGCACCACCCCATTGAAAACCTGCACTTCTCCTTGCAGATGAGGCTAGATCCGCCCTTGGTTTAATAGTGATAACAACAGCGTAATCGTGATGCCATATATGCTTTTTTTATTTGTTTGTGTAAATAAACTGCATGTTTGGAGGAAATCCACACTGTGGTTTTATAACCCGCGTAGTTTTTTTTTGTGGTAAATGTATTAAATTTGGATTTTCCATATCGGGAAAGTATGCAGCAAGGCCTTTCACAGTCTGTACAATATTTGACAAATACGGAAATTTCTTTCAGAGGAAACAACCAAGACCTTGATACAGTACATGCATTTGTAGCATTGCATGCATGTTGTTTATCCCATCAAACCTCATGAAAAATATAATCTAGTCCCAGACTCTGGCGCGTGCCAATTCAATATGGCGGCCAATGTGAAATTTTAAGATTTTAATATCCCTCTGATTAGCTACTAGTGAAACAGTAAAACGATAAAATGAACTGATTAGAGCGAAGAGAGTCATCTGCGAATGAGTCTAGCGTAATATATTTATTTTAGTTGCCGTAGAATGTTTCTTAAGCGGTCCTCCATCCCCGACCATTAGGGATTACAGTTTAATTACGCAGCCGTACAGTATATGACATCTTCATGCAGGAACATTTGTGATCAAACGTCGATAGTTGATGAGAGTTGGCAGTCACGGATTATTACAGATGACATTTGAAGCTCTAGATTAACAAAATAAAGGTTTGATAAGTGTTCCAACAATGTTTTAACTATAAGAACAGCTCAGCAATGTCGCATGACTGCAAACTCTCATGCACTCTCATCCTCGCTTGATCACGGCTTTGTATTGTCATGTTACAAAGCAAATTGTCTGAAATTAGTCCATTTCTAGTAAACTTCGTAACGTCAGCGACATATTTTCACATTAAGGCGAGAAGTAAGCTGCAAACTTCGTTATTAATAATCGATTGCGAAGTCACTCGCAAGTTTAAATCGACCAAACGGTCATAACAAAAGTTCGCTATTTACTCACTAGAAATACATATCACAGCTGGTTACAAACCCACCTTTTAAAGTTCCTCTACATATTTCTTCTTTTCTTGTTGAAATAAATGGCAATCACGATGTATTATAGTATTAAACGTCGAGATTTTGTTAATAAAAACGTTTCAACAAAGGCAGCTTTTACATTAACAAACACGGAAGGAGCGACCTTTTCTTCCCGGAAATTTGATCCTGTGTTGATGACATCACAGTTCCATAATGACCTATATATATTATTTTGCAATACCATATTAAAATGTGTAGTTGTGAGGGTTTGTGATACACCACTGTCGCTCATACTTTTTGTGTTTGTTGGTGTTAAGTACTCAGGTGAATATGATGTTTGTGATGTTACTCTGAGTGTATCCACACCGAGCAAGCTATCATATTCACCTGAGTACATAACGCCAACACGCACAAAAAGTATCATGACTTAGAATGCATTGATATCGAAGGAACTAAACTCAGTTCCGAAATATCACCAACTCGAACCGACTTGACCTCGTATAACTCAGTTGGCAGAGCATTGGACTAGTATCCCAAAGGTCGCGGGTTCGATTCCTACCATGGTCAGGCAAATTTTTCAGCTTGCCCGGTGTGGATGCACACTCAGAGTAACATCACAAACATCACTGTCGTTTATGTTGTACTATAAAAATGTATCAGAAATGGGAGGAAAATGCTTCATCATAATGATGTTGATTATATGAAAGCCAGTGATGGAACCGAGTTAGCGAAACAGCCCAGTATGCGGGATAAATTTCTCTTGTGTATATATCATTGGTCTATATGAGAAAATTTCATTCCACCTCTCGGGACGACTTTGTATTGACATTGGTATGGCAATGCAGTTCTGGATATAACGGCATTAAATAAAAAATATACAGGGTGTATAAAAAATCTGAACAGATTTGAAATTGCTCTCAATTTCATAAAACACTTATTTGTATATATATATATATATATATATATATATATATATATATATATATATATATATATATATAATTCAGTCAAGGTTTGAATGTTTGCGTCGCTACTCTGAGTTTCAACTCATCGACTATTTTTTTGAATATAGTCTTCAGTATATATATATATATATATATATATATATATATATATATATATATATATATATATATATATATATATATATATATATATATATATATATATAAAAATGGCTCGCGCACAAAATTTAAAAGTTGGAATCATATTTTGAGTTAATAGATGGACTGAAAATTTGTCGGGTTTTTAATTACTGTACAAAATTTCAGACAATTTGGTTAAGTTTAAGCCTTTAACTATTCACGCAAAGTTACACTTTTCCTAAAAATCAGCTATTTGCATGCTTAATTAATGCCTTTGCCTAATTTTTGCCTTTGCCAAATTATGTAAAGGCATTAATTAAGCATGCGAAAGGCTGATTTTTTAGAATAAATTGAAAATTGTCTGAAATTTTGTACAGTTATTTAACAAAGTTTCCATCTATTAACTCAAAATATGATTCCAACTTTTAAATTTTGTGCGCGAGCCATTTTTAGTTTGTTGGAAAAGACACCCCCCCCCTGGTTCACAAAATTTGAGTTTGAGAAATTTTTTTCATTATTCTCCATTATAGGTACCCAAAAAAGCTATATATACAAAAAACCGGATACAAATAGGTGTTTTGCGAAATTGAGAGCAATTTCAAATCTGTTCAGTTTTTTTTTATACACCCTGCATAGCTCAGTGTTGAAGCCTATGATTTCCGGGCTAACGCGCGCTGAATATACAGTAGATATTATTTTATCATAAAATAATAAGGGATTGTGCTTTGCATTCTGACACAGACAGCGCGCAAATCGCAGGCTTCAACACTGAGCTTTTTTGTGTGAGCAAGCCCATGCAGTAGCGAAGTGTTTTTGGGAAGGTCAATAATATCAAGACTTCGTAGACGCACGCACGCATGACTATCCCATATGTATCTCACAACGATTGATTGGGTATTCGACCAATGTATTCGACTGAGGATATATACATGCCTCAAAGCTGATGAAAACTAGGTAGATCTCAGCACCGTCCCGGGCGTTCCAACTTGACCAACATTATGAGTGTTATTTTTTGTGCCTAAATGCACCGGGGGAAGTTAGTGGTAAGCACTTATAAAGATGAGAGTTAATTTAAAGAGGTAATTAAAACAGGAAAACGATGTAACACTGATCAGTTATTAGTTTCCCCTCGCCCTTATGAAATCAGAATTCCCTTCAGAAATCTTAAACCTTGAGCGCGCAAAGTATATGAGTATTGCTAACTTGGGAGCCTAAATAGTGAACCAATAGCCCTACATCGAAGTGTTCATTATATATGTCCTAGCATTGTTTGCAAAGCAAATTTGCCGAGGAAGTTACCCATCATACCTTGCGCGCTCAATGTTTAAGGTTTAAGATTTTTGAAGGACAACCTATTTTGAATTGGCTGTATATGTATACATATAACCCTTTTACCTCAAGAGGTTGCCACACAGCTTGTTTCATCCAAGAGGAATCGTAAAAATCTTCAAAAATCTTAAACCTTAAACATTGAGCGCGCAAGGGACGATGGGTAACTACTTATTTAGAATGTTAGGGTTTGTAATCCAAGTGAGAATATATACATTTTAAGACCTAACCAGGAACGATTGCGAAAAATGCAGCACAAGGTCCTCTGGTAGGAATTGAACCTACGGCCCTGCGATTCCGGTGCAGCGCTCTAACTAGCTCAGTTGCCGTTAGAGCACTGCACCGGAATCGCAGGGCCGTAGGTTCAATTCCTACCAGAGTACCTTGTGCTGCCTTTTTCGCAGTCGTTCCTGATTAGGTCTTAAAATGTATATATTCTCACTTGGATTACAAACCCTAACATTCTAACATTAATTCCACCAAGTGAAGTGCAAGAATCCAACTACTTATTTAGCGTCTTGAACTGTGTGAGATTCGTCATAATTTTCAGAGAGCGCGCACTTACACCGCGTCGCGCTTCATGACGTTTCCGAGAGCATCACATCACATGCTTGAAACACCCACTTCAGCAAAATTTGACAAAACACAAAATGTGTTAGGCTCCACGTATCCAGTGGCTAGGCGATATTGGGATATGCGCGAGCTTCTGTTGTATTCAATATTTAAACATGGGGAAAATATAATTCGCGACCCGCGAATTTTAGGGCGGGCGAAACGGAGGTCTGTTGTTATCATGTTCTCGTTTAATTCCTGATAGTTCACAGTGGTCTGCAAACGATATTGCACTAGTAGCCATATATTAATGGCCCGCGCGCTTTTATATTTATTGCATTTTGTTTCATAATTTCAATCGTGTAATCACACGAGAACCGAGAAAGCCGTATTTTCCCCATGTAATTGCTTTTAACCGAGTACCAGACTCGTACCTATGCTCCAGTATGTGCGCGGGGTTTACGACGCGCAGCTCATTCTCATACCCAGAGCCCTTCTTACGAGCGGTGCGACGAGGAGCTCTGGCCAAATCCATAACCGGATACCATAAAAACATGGTAAGAAAACAATATCCGGTGTTAGAACTAGCCAATCAGATGCCAGTTCGGAATATGGATTTGGCCAGAGCCCCTCGTCGCACCGCGCGTAAGAAGGGCTCTGTGTACGAGAATGCGCGCAGCTCTGAAAACACACATAAGGATCCCTCTCCTCCCGCCCACGTGTGAGTTTCTCGCGTGTTTATCCCGCGCCGGGACGAGGCTGGCCGAGTGCTAGTTGTCGCGGCAAAGCTAGCTGAAAAATTACACACGCACGTACTGATTTAATTGTATAGTTTATAATAATTTATATATTTAACTACAAGTATAGATTTTTAAAATTTTCACCTGAAAATAAAATTTACACAGTCGCTTTTGGCTCCATCCAACAAAACCTATGACTATATAGGCCTATGTACAAACATTACCAAGATGAACACTATATATAGCCTGGATTTATGCCCCAAGTATTGAATTGCCTTGTCTGGCAAAGATCAACCTTAAGTCCCTGTTTATGCCATTTCCCTTGAGCAATAGCTTGACAAACTTGGCACCAATGATGGAATTTTCTATCCCAATATTTTCCAATAATTGTTTCACTTATATCCCCCAGACCTTTTCGCTTCCATTCTAAATGCTTATTATATTCCGTTTCGTTATTCATCAAAAACTTTAGATGCTCGGCTAGTTCTCGGGGATTTTTGAAATCCCTTACGTTAATGATAGCGTTTTTAAGATTTCCTGGTAAAAACTCATAAATCTTGTCTGTGCTCATGACGATTGGCACAGATCCAGCGTTCAGCGCATGTAGAATTTGATCATCGACAAAATAGTCACAGTCTTGGTTGAAAAATGTTATAGCAAATTTGTATGTCTTTTGTAACTTCGATTTCATATTTTTAAAATCGGATTTATAACGCTGGACGAGTCCTGCCTTATTTTGCAAACATGCACCGTAAGAATCTACCTGGATATATCTCATTAATTGTCTGAGGTACTCGGTCCTCACCGGTTCGCAGTTACTAAATGCGGCCATAATCCTACCGGTTTTGTTTTTAAATGGTACAGGAGGGTTCAAATTTGGTTTCTTGAACAGAGGAGTAGGGAAATCGGAATCTAATCTGTAACTTCGTAGTAAATGAAATTGAGACATGTACTCTGTTTTTTTTAAAACAGGAGTATAAACGGGGTTCTCTAAAGTGGTTAGGATCCAAGGGATGTCTTTGTTTGGCGGTAGAGGATACGGGTCCCGAGCGTGGACGATGAATGCGTGAGCTTGTTTGATTCGATCACGATTAGATGTCACCTCGCAAGCAACTGGACACTGATCTTTGCCAATGCCTTTTTCAAGAAATCCTTCGCTCTTTTTCGCCGGGAAACCCCACAACTTGGACCAGAATAGGAGAAGGATTTTTTCGTCTGTCGCATACGGTACACGGATTAGGTTTGGTGAGGTGTCGGAGAAGAAAAGACTGAGAAGCAACAGTGTAATGCCGATGATGGTTGAAAAAGCGACGAACAAGAAAATTGGCCGTAGCGGTAGTTTTTTTGCGTGTTGTTTCACCAGCATTTTGTTGTAATGGACCATATACATTGGATGTGGTACTTGAAGCTGGGGAATACGATTTATCAATTGTCAGCAAAGAAAATCAAGTATATACACTATATATGAACACAATATAACTTAGTGGCTGTTTATATATATGATCCCGCTTTGCCAGGAAGAGATATGAGACGGGACGATTTCGATGTATTGAAATAAGCCATGCTGCCGCACAATTGAGCAAAAAACTTCATTATTTTCGAGAGATAGATTATACCAGTTAACTGTAAACGAAAGGTTGTTTAAGCAGCAGTAATAATCTTCTTGAACTACAAGATCTCTACAATATTTGAGTTCTGTTAACCAGCATTTGAACTTTCGTTTCGCCTAGTGACTTGTTTCAATACATCAAAATCCTCCCACCTTCCATCATGTAAACAGCCCCTTAGTTAACAATAGT